TATATATATATATATATATATATATATATATATATATATATATATATGGTTCAGTGTGGCCTTAACACTGGCAGGTCTGGGCTCTAGTGCTTGTGTCACGATGATAAATCACTTCAACTCCTTTTTCTTCAATATTCCTTTTCCAGAGGACCTGAGCAGGTAGTACCTGAAAAGCTGCAAAGACTTTTTCAGCTCACCCATCCTATAGCTTATAGAGCAATCTAGATGCCCACCCACAACGGTTTGCACCATGAGGATATTTACTGCATTCCTGAAGGGTGGTGAGGAAGAGGGGATGCTGTGCGTTCCTCGACTGAAACATTGGTAACTTAGAAAAATTAGTCAAAATGTAATATGTAATAATCCATCTGGAGTTCTTAATTCTCAGAGGTTAAGAAAACATTTATTCTTTTAAAAAGTCACATTTGTTTACTTTTGGGAGAAGAGTTCAATTTTAGAAATTCAATACCATGGCTTCTTATTGACTTATGCTTCATCTTTGTAGCCAAGCACGTGTCCAAATGACCAACAGGCTCATAGTTCCACATCCTTGTGTCCACCTTCTAATGACGTAACCGCTGATGGCTCCTCCAGCTTATCTGGGGTGTGGGTGAGCCCAGGAATCACTGCTCATTCACAATGCCCACACCCAGAATTATCCACTATACAGGTAATGTTGGAGCTTGTTCTCAGTTTGGAATGTGCTGTATGTAGCAATGTACTTGATCTGCTCTTTCCTAGGAAATGGAGTCAATTAATTAATTGTCTACATTCATGTTAATGTTTAGTATAATTACAGGTAACGTTAAGGCAATTTATGGTAAGTCCCTGTTTTCAAAGAGCTAATGTTCTAGTTTGGAATTAAATTACAATAGATAGAAAGCATATATGAAAGAAAGTCAAAGAAATACATGTAAGGTACAAATGCATGGTTGGGAAGTGGTAGGGGAACATACATATTGGTCCTCTAAGGTTTAAGTCACTAATCACACTCTCATAGAAAACTCTCCTATTTAAAGCTTATGGATCTGACTCTGTTGGTGATTACCTTATTTTCTTAGACAGTTGCAACTTCTGAACCTGTGTATGGAATCTTATTTAACTTTCATGTGACCTTATATGATGATCTTGACATAGAAGTCTATCTTCTCTGAAGCTTCTGCACCAGCTTTGGAGTCTAGGCTGAGCTCTTCTTGGTTCCTAACCTCACATCTGGTTGACAGAACTAACTTTTCCTCATGACTGGCTTTAGCTTTTGTATAGCAACTTGACCTTAACTATAAATTATTGATTTCATTAGACCATTTGGTTGGGTTCTGTGAAATTTCTACTTATCCCTGCTTAATCTTGCTGTAGAGGCTCAGAAGAGTTTGAGTCGTCTTTCTTGATCCTGGATTAAAACTATCAACTCTTTACATTGCTTCTAGGGCAATGTGAAAGAATGAATGAAGTCAATAGGATGTAGTTATAAAATGCTTCTTTTATGTTTGTAGAGGTTATTAAGTCATATTAATCATAGAATTGAAAGATAACAATGGTCTACTGGTTCTTAATGCTAACTGCATGATAGAATCACCTGGAAACTGTTTAAGACATGCAAGTGCTTCAGCTGCATTGTAGACCAATTAAATAAGAAGCTGGGGGTGGGCGCCATGAAGTCATAGTTTTTAAAAACTTCTCAGATGAATCTGATGTGAGCCAGAGATAAAAATGACTGATGCAGGTGTCTTCCATCATTAAGTCACGAGGGGAAACTTGCCCAAGGAGATTCAAGAGACTTCCAGAATCCACCTAGGTCTTGTTTTCAAGGTGCCAAAACAGGAGAGGAGGTTGGGTTTTCCATTGTTTGTGTGCAATTTACTTCATGAAAGTCCTCAAGTGTGTTTAAGGCAGTGTTAGAGGCTCCTACCTGATGTACATAAGCCTTGTCCCACTTCCTTTTCTTAAGCCCTCAGTGTCTGTCTTTAGTTAGCATCAGTAAGATGCTATTTGTCACAGGGCTACCTTGGCCTTGGTGATCAGCACACCTGGCCCTCATCCTGCTCCTGCTGTCTTGGTGCCGCCGTGCCTTTCGCAAGCTGAAGATATTTACAGAAAAAAGAGGCTGATCTCAAAACAAGAGTGCAAAGAGATGACAGCCTGAGAATGTCAACAAGAAGGCTTGCCGGGGTCCTGCCCTAGCAGGGTTCAGGGAGTCCTGAAGGATGAGTGGCGTCGTATGAAACAGGAGTCGTTCCGTTGGAGCAATCTCCAGAGAGAGAGCTAATGCAGCTTTCTCTGGGTCATCGTTTATTACAATTTTTCTCATCATTAGAGATTCAGAATACGTCATTGATTATATAATTTAAAACTTTGCCAAGACATGACATTTCCTTAACCATGATTGGGGGTACAAAAAATGTAACATTAATTTACATTTTTCCAGGATATGACCTTCAGTTATGTAATTATTAAAAGTACAGAATCATTAATAAAATATGTCACTAATTTACATTTTTCAGATTTTCCCAAGATTTACTATTTTCCCCAAGATATGCTATTTTCTTATTAACTAATGCCAAACTACGTAACCAGACTCTAAGTCTCCTAACTCTAAGTCTCCTAACTTGTACTTTATTTCTAATCTAAAATTCCCATCTAAAAAAGTCCCTTTAAATCTTATATTTAAAACATCCTAAAGTTTATAAATCATTCTTAAAACATATCAGAAACCTATACAACTAAAAACTTAAGAATTTCTAAACTTAAGAATCTAAATAAAATAATATTTCTAACATTCTTCTAAAACTGTGTCTTATAAAGCTATTTTAATTAATTCCTAAATTTATTCTCATAAAACTGGTTGAGCTGCTTTCTCAAAGAGTTTCTTTGTTCCTCAGTCAAGGTGCACTAGTTCTCATATCTTTATAATCTTTCTCAATAGAAAGTAAGTTCTAAACATCAATCCACTTTCCACCAATATTAACTATGCTCATCATATATCCCTATGTAAAGTAAGAAAGGGTTTATAAAAAGAGAAGAATATATCTTTATATGTTTTAACTTTCCTAAGTGTATAATATAACTTTCCTTAATCAAAAATGAGACTGCATGCGGTGAACTTTGTAAAATAAGCATAATGATTAGATTTTCTAAGAGGCCGGAAATATGGGCTTGGGTTCTAGTTGATATAATCAATGTGGTGCCTAAAATTCTCATGACCTTTCAAAGGATGATTGTTGTCCATTATCAGATTTTTCCACAATATACTGAGATAGAAGAACAGCCTTCTACTTTGTCCTTGATATGCTGAGGGGTAGTAGAACAGCCTCCAAGGCATGAACTACCTGTTATGTTCTAGCCATCTGAAATTTAATTTGTTTGGCATTTAACATACTAATGCCTCCTGTCAGAAACATAAGCATGAAAATGAAAAGTCCCAATTACATAAAAAAGGGTCTCATGGTTTCGGTTTCCCACCAACCAGTGTGGCTTTGCCAGCATTCATCCTCACTGTGACCCTGTCAAGACAGTAGGAGAGCGGCTTGGCCAGCACTTTTTCTCACTGTGACCCTGTCAAGACAGTGAGTGGGGGATCGCCTTCACCAAAGGCTGAAAGTGGGTAATGAGCCCCCCAAAGGAACCGATGATTCTGGGGAGTTTGGAAGACATGAAAGAGAATGGAGTGTCTCAGAAGCAAAAAGAAAGACATGTTGTAAAACAGAGGAGAAGGGATGGTGTCCAGGGGCAAACACGGTGGAGGACTTCAGTCCTTTAGGCTTTAGTGGATGAATTTAGGCTTTAGTGGATGAATATAATTGGTGACTATTTCAGTGGCCTGATGGGAGCAGAAGCCCAACCGGATTGGGCTGAAAAGTGTGCAAATGGAGACACTGCATTCAAATGACTCTCAGGAAATTTTGTTTTTCAGAGAAAGAGAAAGGGTTGTTGGAGGGTGATTTGGAATCAAAGGAGTTTTTTTTCTTTTTCTTTTTTTCCTGTAAAGTAGCTTTTGTTTCTTTGATAGTTTGTTTGGAGTGTGATTAAATGTGGAAAGTGGTGAAGAAATTCTATCCAGGGTAATCAAAAGAGAAAATCTGCTGGGAAGGGCACAGGGGATGGAACCCAAAAGACAGGTTGGAGCACCAGCTTCAGATGGTAGAGGATAGCTCTTCTGTCAACCAAGAAAGAGGTGAAGTCCAGGTAGCTTAGGTTTGCAGGTTTGGTAGTTGGTGGAGTTTTCATTTGATGGGTTCAAGTTTTCCAATGAAGTAGGAAGGAGGGAAGAGGAAAGCCATTTGATTGGAATGGGGAGGGATGATTTGTGCACGAGGAACGATGGGTGGAGGTTACAGGTTTGAAGAGTGAGAAGACTGAGGACGTACTTGAGATTTGAGGGAGTATCTTGATCCAAGATCTGTAAGGGGGTGTCAGAGCAATGCAAAAAACCCTCTCGAGGAGGGGATCTGCCCAGGTGCTTGGCTTTTCACAACAGTGTGACTGCTCCAAAGTCCAGAGAAAGTAAATCATCATTTATTTGCCAGCCAGCGGAGATGAAAAGAGGGAAATACAAGAGACTTCAGGGAATCACCAAGAGTGCTATTAAATAATGGAACAAAATGTGGACAAGGAAAGATGTAGTGAAGTACTAACCACTGAACCAAAGGTTTTTTTTTTTTTTTTTTTTTTTTAATCAAACTAAAGAAAGGTCATCATGGAATGGCTGGGTGAACAAGCTGGAGAGAGAGGACATGGTGGTTAGGAGACAAAATTCTTGAGGAAGTGATAGATATTGGAAGTGGAGCAGGGTTTGGCATTGAGTGGAGGATCAAGTGTGTGAAAGAGAATTTACCATTTAAAAATATTTAAAAATATTTGTCTGCCCACATGAAAAGTCAACGGACAGTGATGGAGGAGGAAGGAATAAGTAGAGCATGGGTGATTTTTAAGGCAGCGAAACTACTTTGTATAATGTTGGATATATAATGACGTGTTATACATTTATATTTTTCCAAATCCATAAAGTGTTCCATACCAAGAGTGAATCTTAGCATAAACTATGGACTCTGGGTGATAATTAGTTGCCAATGTGGATTCATCACATATAACAAATGAACCACGGTGCAGGATATCCATAATGGGGGAAGTTATGTACCTGCAGGGGAAGGGTGTGTGTAGATTATCTATATACACTTGGCTCTGTTTTCCCCTGGATCTAAAATAGCCCTAATACATAAGGTCTATTAAAATAAAACAAACAAACAAAAAAGGAAAATAGAATAACAGAAGAGATATTGGCAGATTTGTCTTTTTTCTAATGTCCGGGAAAGCATGACATTTCTTCCACCTGGATGAACATCTGGATGTTTTTAAAGTCTAAACTCCAGAGTCATATAGTGATTTAAACAAAGTCAATACAATACATTGTAAGTTGTAAGTAACACAAAAAGGATGACCCATTGCAAACATTTTTGTCTTTATAAGTGATATTTTGATTCACACTCTTCTTAGGTGAAAGGAAATAGCGGCAGTGACTGGTCTCTGTGGAAAGTTTTCCTGGCCTGCCTCTTAGCCTGTGCGATAACAACAGCAATTGGAGTCCTCGTAATATGCCTGGTGAATAATCGAGGAAGTAATTCCTCCGTTGTTATCCAGCTACCCACAAACAGTGGAGGGGTGGTAGATAGGGAATCTGGAACAGCCTCTACTACTTCCCAACCTACAGTGACCACCACTTCAACTGAACCTTCAACTATCACCACTTCAACAGAATCTACAACCACAACGGTCACAACCAGTTCTTCAACTCAGCCTTTAACCACAGCACCCCTCACCACAACTTCAAGTAGAACCAGATATATCACCACTGCCACAGAATCCATGGGTACGGTGGCTCCTCCATAGCTATTATTTGAAGAGCCACAACCATCACTTCAGTGGAATCTACCCTCTCTACCCGACAACCTAGCTCACAACCACAGCAGCTACTCCTACCCCTTGAAGTTGAACAACAGCTGGTGCCACTTTATCAGACTTGCTGTTGTGACTTCATAGCACCAAATGCTAGTGCAACTGATGCTTAGCTGACAGCCAAATCCTCACCTCCACCATCTTTTCAACGAAACCCATGGCTACCTGTGCTTCAAGTGAAAGTACAGCTACTACCACATCCACTTAACCTACAACTACAGGAACTTCTACTTACTCTACAATAAGTGTTGATTACCCTCACCAGGAATCACAAATGCCGCCATTAACATTTTAACCTTAACTAAGTTACTATCAGTCACCAGAACAATCTCTTCTATCTCATTAACCTTTAGTCATTACAACTACAAATTAGCCTAAAATTATTCCCCACGTTGACTTTCCTGAGAATTTATATTGGACTACTTCTTCTACAGGAGCTGAATCTGTATCATTGCCATTACTAAGTTACCATGATGCCACCATGGACCGTGGATAATGGAATAATTACCCCAATTTTTATGAAATCAACAATAAGGATTTATAAAATTATTAAAACTGTTTTAGAATAATAGCAGTTAAGCTATAAGAATCTGATCTTGGTTCTCTAGTTCCAAATAATATATAGCTTTATATAAAAAAGTGACCATTTGTTTGCTAGAAATCATCATGAGATTTTATATAAAATGTTATACTAAAATTAGCCATTTGGATTTTAATATATATTGGTTTCAGTTCAGAACGTTACATTTCTGTGTACACAAATTACATGCATAATGAACAGGGATTTCATATGCAGGGGATTTAAACAAATTTATACAGAAAAATGTTAGAATTTATAACAATTATTTCTTCTAGGGTGAATTTTGTTATGTTTTTTTCAATTTCTGTTTATATTGTAACTTGCTTTTAATCAATCATATTCTTTTTTTGGACTAATATTACTAAAAGTGCATTTGGGTTTTTAAATTTGTATTTTAAATTACTTTCTGCAATATTGTAAGTCACTCAATTGACATTTCTTGAGTCACGGCTGGGTACTACAGCACTGAAAAGGTATACCAGAAGAAAAGAAAATGCACATTAACTAATAAATTCATTAATTTAGAGTGTTAATATTTAATTCTTAATGACTTTGGAAGGTTTGAATTAGAACTGATGATGATGCAGACTTTCTAAATCAGGATCTTAGATTGTAACTAGTAATCTGTACTTAAAAAAAACTGTATTGATATTTATAATATTCAGGGAGTTTGAGAATTAAAGATTAGAAGGTCATAGTCTAATAATGACATTAGTTAGAGTGGTGTACATTAAAATTAAAAATGTTAAAATCAGAACTGTGTTCCAAGCAGGCAAGAAAGAGAATTATAGAATTATAGATCTAGGTAAGCTCCAAATCATCTTCAGCAATTTAGTGAGGCCCAAAGCAACTTAGCAAGACCCTGTCTCAAAATGAAATATAAAAAAGGTTGAAGATATGGCTCAATGGTAAAGCATCCCTATGTTCAACCCCTGGTACCAGAAGGAAAAAAAAAACACCTAAAAACTCTATGTATAAAAACTTATTTAGCCAAAGGAACATGAGATCAATAGGGGAATGTTTCATTTACCAAATAGCAATGAAATATGTTTAAGACAAATCTTAAATTTTAAGTTTCTCTGAAAATCTTAAAGTACTTGTTTTTTTACCATTGGACCTAAGGGAATATTTTCTTATATATGCTTAAAAGTAATGACATTTTATAACTACTTAATTTGAATTTTTAATAATTACACATTGGCTTTCTCTTCCTTTCTTAATGTTTTGATTAAGAATATTTTTGAGATATTTAAAATATCAGTGACTAGATAGTTCATTTCTTACTTGGAATTACCATTTTCTAATCCTTTCACAGTTCTGCTAGTCACAAGAATGATAAATAATTTGAAATGCATTCATTTGTCAATAAATACAAATGTAAATACACCTATTTTATTTCTCTCTCTTTATTTTACTTGTTGTTAGTTATACATGACAATAGAATATATATGTACATATTACACATATACAGAGCGTAACTTCTCATTGTTCTAGTTTACATGATGTAGAATTACATTGGTCATGTAATCATATGTGCACACAGGAAAGTAATGGTGTACAGTTATTTTATAAGGTATGACAAGATTTCCTTAGTCGATTACATACTTGATGCTTAAGAAATAGACATGAAATAAGTGAAGAAATGATAACTAACTTGTACAATATAGGATTCTTGAGAATAGAACTGCCAAATTATTTATTATTTTATCCATTCAGCACGTAGTAGACCCCAATAAACATCTATAAAATTAAAGATAATTTTTAAGGCATGATTCTTCAAGAAAAGACTATTAGACATTTTAAATGTTATCATTAATAAAATAATTTAGCCTGTTTTTTTTTGTTTACGTTGTATCATTCAAATTTTAAAATCTTTTTTTCGCAAGACTTATGTTACATATTTTAAAAATAGACTTGATTTACCTTTTGAATGCTCAAAGTTTTCATAAGTTTGGAATTCATCCTTTCTAATGACATAATAAAGCCTTTGAGTCACTCTTATTCTTTAGAAGAGGAGCTATGGTGGTGTTGGGAGAGACAACAGTAATTATTGTTCAAATGTCACATACCAGATACAATTATAAAGCACTTTCATGTACTTGACTCATATTTATGCTTTTCATCACGTTCTTTTCACCAGATGGTCAATTTATGATCCACTCTTTGCCCCAGTATCCCCCCCATTTCAGTTAGTTCCCCAAAGACCAGAGAATAATAGACTATGTGCTTTTATGTGTTTTTCTTCTCAGCTTTAGTATACTTAATGAACATTATTTGGAAGTTTTCTCCCATTTAAGTTACTTGGAAGAGGTCATCTTTTTTTTTAAGAGGTCATCTTTTAAAGTTAAAAAAAAATTGGCACATAATACTTGTGTATATTTATGGGGTACAGTGTGTTATTTGCATTCATGTACACGATTTGCTGTGATCAGAGTAGGTTAATTGATATAAGTATCACCTCAAATATCTATCATTTCTTTGTATTTAAACATTCAAGATTGAGTCCTGCTTGGAAAATTTGCAGATTTTGTCTCTTTCTTGCTCTCTCCATGATGATTCTGTAGCACTAGGGATGAAAATAGATCCTTAATCTTCTGATCCCTGAAAGTGGGTTCATCTCAGGGGTTTTACTGGTGTTTACTGCTTCAGTCATCAATGGTCCTAACCTTGCTTTGGTTTGGTGCTCTTCTTTGCTCAATTGATAATTGTTATTCCCAGTGCGGTTTACTGTGGCCCCAACAGGAACGCCCCCCCTCCGCGCCCTTCTTCTAGTGTTCCTCCTTGGATAAGAGAATTCTCCAACTTTACACTCTCAGCACACTCTGGATCATATGGAAACCACTGGATTCCTTCCAAGATGTACAGGATCTGAGAGTTCTCGGGGTCAACAGACTCTTGCCCATTTAACTACCCTTCTCTGTTTTGGATTAGATCTTTGAGAAGCGAATCTTTTAGTAATTCCTTGCAATGATTCATTTCTCACCATTGTCTCTTGGGGTAGTTTTCGTTAGCTTTTGCATTGCTGTAACCAAAATGCCTGACATGAGCAACTTAGAGGAGGAAAGGTTTATTTGGGGCTCACAATTTCAGAGGTCTCAGTCCATAGATAGCTGACTCCATTGCTGTATGCCTAAGTTGAGGCACCACATGATGGGAGAAGAGCCCAGCTGAAGAAAGCTGCTCCCCTCATGGCAACAGGAAGGGGGATGGCAGGCCACAAGGAAGATGGATCTTTCCAGGGCACACCCCCCCATGACCCACCTCCTCCAGCTACACCCCACCTGCCTACGGTACCACCCAGTCAGTTCATTCAAACTAGGACAGGCTGATTAGGTCACAGCTCTCATAATTCAATCATCTTACCTCTGAATATTCCTGCAATAACACTTTTGGGGGGACACCTCTCTTCTAAACCACAACAGGTATAATGCAAGAGCTCTTACTGTCCTCTTCCTTTCTATTCAGGCCAATTCACTATTTTAAATATTCCTCTTTCTTAGGTGGCATCAATCACCTTTTATTCCTGGGCTCTAACAGTGGTCCAAATGGGAATCAAGGAATCAGCCTACTGAAAATAGTTAGCTTTAAACAATTATGCCTAGTATGCATGTAAGCACTAATAGCCTGTCTAGCACGACAACTATGTAATTAGATACATATACCTATAGTATACATTAATTATATTATACCTACCATGTCAGTAGAAATCATTTAAATTTTCTTAATTCAAATAAATGAGAAAGTACTTGCCTATGTACTTTTAGTTTAGTTTCTATTTCTGCATGTTGTTGGAAGAATTCCTGCATATTGTTAGAAGTTCGGATGAAATTATGGAATTTGAAGATTTAATTCCTATTTATGTGTGACTTTTGGCTAGTTATTTGACCTCTCTGTGTTTTGGTTTCTTCATTTGTAATCTGAGTAAAATAATTGCATCTCCATCACACTTTTCTAGGAATACTTACGAATTAATATATGAAAATATTAGAAACATAATTGAAATTCAATCAAACATCTCAGCAAGATTCAGAAATAAAATGGAAAATGTTAAGGGTAACCTTCTGATGTTTGATTTAAAATTTATGTGTCAACATTATTCTTCAAAAATACGTATTTCTTGGATCTGTCCATTAAAAGGTCCGTAGAAGCAATGAGTGCACCTGACTCCCAGGTCTTGGTTTCTAGATACCATTCCTCCTTGAGATAAGGCAGAGCTCTGGAGAATTGACTGATTCCAGGAAAAACACACAGTGAACCTTGGACATCTTGTGCACTCAATAAGGAAGCTCTCAGAACCCAGTGGGGATACTTCACAAGAAGAGAGAAGGCTGGCTGTCTGAATTGGGAACAGTGG